TTTAAAAATATTCAAACTAGAATATATGCTTGCATAAAGGTGACAAAAATAATTAAAATAAACATGCTTTTCAATTCGCGCCAATGGCTATATATGTGCCATAACTGATTGGCGCGAGCGCTAACTAGTCCCGAACAGACATCACTCCCAACGATTTGTGAAAACACTTTATCATTTTAAAGAAAATTATATATTGTAGCCGTTAATTGTAACAACGTTGTTTACCAATCATGTAGTTATGAAAGACTGTTAGCGTATGTCAGCGTATAAAAAAACAAGTGTCACTCATACGCTGGTACACCGCTGACATACGTTTCGAGCACGTTCGCGTACGATAGTATACGCTGGCATTTGGCGATGCCCAGCGAGACAAAAACATATTTTAAGCATGCTTAAAAATTTTGTGCGTATTCGGACGTTACTCATACACTGGCATTTCAAGGGATGGATTCCAGACTTTTACAACACAAGTTCCATTTTGGCAACGATTCCAACTACGTCATGTTCTGCAGAAAGATCTTTCAGTGGGTTACGAAGGGTGGAGACGTACCTTCGTTCCACATTGGGTTAAGAACTTTTCTTCTCTGTATGGAACGGGCATATACTAATAGAACCCGACTCGAGAATGATGTGGACGAAGTCATTGATGTTTTCGTGCCTCACTGCCCTCACATTTCTTTTAACAGTATAAATAATATAATGATACACCGAATAAACTTGTAGAGGAGACTAGATTAGGTTAGGTTTTCTGTTCTTGGTAACAGTCGTCAGACTTGGTCTTGTTTCATTAATTTTCTCTTTGTTTCTCACCCGCTCCATACACAAAATCTCACCCCAAAACGCAGAAAATGGTATTTTGGAAACTCTATTTTTTATAGGGGCTCAGCCCCCTTGAGCCTTCCACCAATACACCACTGGAAAATCGCGAAATTTATTCTTTATTACAATATTAACCTGCACATAACCTGCAAAACGAACCATTCTTTTCAGTTAGTGGAAAATTTTTTTTGAAAGTCGTTGGAAGGTCATAGCATGGAAATTGTATGGTCCTTTATTGGAAATAGAATGGATTTGGATTATCTAAAATAATTGTAATTATTTTTTTATTTGTGCATGCCTGGTGATATTTTTTGATTTCCTGCAATCTGATTGGCTGCAGCAGCGGGCAGCATTTTACGATATCTTGACCGTGGTCCAAAAGTGTTATTTTTTAGCGACAAACCGAGGACGAGTGAAGACAATTTTTAAACTCAAAACACTACCCAAAAAGTTTAAAAATACACCCTATCGATACTAAAGATAGTAAAATACAGTGAATTGGCTTCAGTAGACTTAGTGCCAAGCCCAAATGTACTTTTCTCAGACCAAACTGCGAAAAAAACAAATGTAAATATCGAAAAACACTTGCCAGTGCTACATGTTTTGATTAAAATGTTCCACATATGCTATTCTTCAAAAATATATGTATAAATATAAATAGTATACAACGTACAACTTGTCCTTAAACAAAAATGTTAAAAAATTAAAAACAACCTTAAATGGCAGTTTAAAGACGATTCCTGGGTTTATTGGAGAAAAATTGTTTTTATATATGCTGTAAAGAACAATTTGTTTTTCGGCAACTATAAAATTTGTATTTGTCTGTCAAAAAGCATCTTTCAAGCATGTGCATGCTGTAAAGCGAATCGGAAAATAAATATTTTTACTTTGTTTACCTTGTGTTTTCTTGTTGAGTAGAAAAGCATCTATTGCAATGAAACTATTAACGCTTTTCATCCGGCTTTTATCGCGTCGTTTTAGCTGTTTGTCAGCCATGCTTGCACTAAAGTAACAAACGTTACTGATCTCAAATATACTTCCCAACTGGAATTTTATCCGAATTTCATTATAACCATGAACCATCAAATAAAAAAATAAACACGTTATTTACCGTTTAGGTCGGTCCGTACTAAAAAATATTTTCCATCGGCCTCAGAAGCGTCCCGGGAAAATATTATTTCAGTACGGACCTCGCAGCCGGTAAATAACATATATATATATTTCCATACTATGGATATAGTATGAATATAGTATGGATGTACTATGGATTTAGTGGTGCAATTGCAAATTTTATAGCATAGATTTCACATTTTTTCCACCCTTATTTTAACAAGAATTAGTCAAAGGTTGACAAATTTTGAGCCACAATGTATTGATTTTTCAGACATTGATGAATGCTGTGAAGGAAATTTTATTTGTCATCCGAAGGCAACTTGTATCAACACTCAAGGCACATACAAATGTCAATGTAATAACGGATACGTGAGGGATGGAAAAGAAACCTGCATAGGTATACGTCTCTGAATGCTAACGGATATTTTAACGTACAATAATTAGAGGTAAAAAATATTATGCTGTAATATTTTGACTTTTTCAGACCTTGACGAATGCTCTGAGGGAAACTTCACATGTAATCCAAATGCAACTTGCATTAATACTGCAGGCTCATACCGCTGCCAATGTAAAAGTGGGTTCTTGGAGAACGGGAAAAAGTGCGCAGGTGAAAAATTTTAGAAACCTATATTTTTCTAAGTTTGAGTGATTAAGATGGAAGCAAGCGATAACCCAAAACAAACAAAATGGCATATGGTAAAACGCGGACTGGACTCTATTAGTAAAACGCGGACTGGACTCTATTATTAAAACGCGGACTGGACTCTATTAGTAAAACGCGGACTGGACTCTATTAGTAAAACGCGGACTGGACTCTATTAGTAAAACGCGGACTGGACTCTATTAGTAAAACGCGGACTGGACTCTATTAATAAAACGCGGACTGGACTCCATTATTTTTTCGCGCCAAAATTCCACCAAAATTCCACCAAAAACCCGAGAAGTGGTTACCGAAAAAAATAATGTCGATTCCATTGACTCAAAATCCCGTTTCGTGTAAGAAACCGCACTGTTGAACAGTACAAGAGGCCACAGTAACATAATCGAATCTGGTTCCTTGCATTTTGTGAAGAACCATACTCAATAATGATATCGATGGAGTCAAATCTTGCTTCGATTTTTGTCCATTTTGTAGGCGACGAGTTTGACTTTGCCTCCTTCGCAGACATCTGCCAACATGTGCCAAAGATGTTGTCCCAGGTTTGAAATATTTGCACAGCAAGAATATAGCTGATGAGTTCCGTTCATAATTTTCAGCATTTAATAAGTATTATAAATTAAGATAATCTCTTTGCACTTAATTTTTGATTGGAATGCATGTATCATGTATATAGCATTTTTTGTTTGTTTTGATGCTGTTTTGTCTTTGTGTTTTGTGAAATATCACCTAAGTGTATGTGCCGGTTTGTGTGCTACGTCAGTGTTGAAAGGTCGCAATAATCTGGCGGTCATTTCAGATATACTGTTTATGTAAGGTAGAGTTATTCTTGTTCTTGATTGTTCAGGTTGTTCGTCAGGTATGTTACTCTGTTGCTTGTTACGTATTTTTGTTACTATTTTGTTAACGAAGTTCCTAGGGTAGTTGTTTTTCATGAAAGTTGAGTACAGATATTTGCGTTCTGTTTGTTTAGCTTGTTCTGTCTTACAGTGCGTATCTATTCGGTTGAATAAGCTTCTTATACAGCTTATTTTGAGTTGAGTAGGGCGGTTGCTGTTAAAATTCACTATTTGGTCAGTGTGCGTTTTCTTACGGTAGACCTGTGTGTTAATCGTGCCGTCATCAGTTCTTGTCATCAAAATTTCAAGGAAAGCAAGTTGGTTGTTATCTTCTTCTTCTTTCGTGAATTTCATATTTTCTGTAGTATTGTTTATAGAAGTATGTATTGTTTATATTAATAAAAGTATATTTCAATCCGGTGAACTTTAATTAATTATAATATGCCTGGATTACAAATCTTTAAACGTATAAAACTGACATATGGGATAGTTACTCTCAGAAACACCACAAAATGGGAAATATTCGCGCGTAAAGAATCGTCAGCATTGGAACAACTAAAATCTCTGCACAACTGTAAACGACTACAGATTTTACCAAACAGCATCAACTACCAGCCACCAATAAGCTAAGAACCAACTATGCTCAACGTATTGCACAAGCCAATGGTCGTCGCATGCTGAATGCACTAATATCTGATGCTCACAATCGCTTACGTGTATATCGAGAGAAACTCCATGGATACCTTGACACTGTTATAAGCTAAACGACTGAAACAGACTCAAATTCGCTAGACAACGCCATCAAACAAACGGCAAACGCATATAGAACAAAACGGCATAACCAACTTGAACAAAAATTTAAAAACCCAAGGTTCTACAAACAATACCATAGCAACTCAGACGCCTGGGTTAAAAATATCTCAGATAGACCACTCACGGAGCAACAAACTCGCAGGTTAGCGAAGGGCTTAAATTACAATACCAAAGACGCTGACAAATTAGATTACGTTGCAGACTTAGAATCTGCACTTAAAAACTCTGGACTAACTGATGAAACCAAAGAACATATTTGCCACCAAATAACCACTAATCTGCATAATAAACGACCGGTTAAATTAGACACTGAAGAACAGAAAGCAATCAAAGATCTACAAGACAACGACGAAATTATTATATTACCAGCTGACAAAGGACGAATGACCGTAATCATGAACAAATCTGATTATATCGATAAAGCAAACACCCTACTGAAAGACACGGAAACATATCAACCACTTGACTCTGACCCCAGTAAAACGACGGTTAATCGTATCAACGTGAAACTAAAACAACTGAAAGATAAAGACAAACTAGAAGAAACCAACTACAAGAGAATTCGACCAAACGATGCATCCACTGCTAAATTTTACGGACTACCGAAAATACATAAAGAAAACATTCCTCTACGACCTATTGTCTCCCTCCTAGGATCATCTACATAAGAGTTATCAAAATTTCTTGCTATGATCCTTCATACTCTTGTCAAAACAGACCGCCAGATTATTGCGACCTTTCAACATTGACGTAGCACACAAACCGGCATATAAACTTAGGTCATATTTCACAAAACACAAAGACAAAACAGCATCAAAACAAACAAAAAATGCTATATACATGATACCTTGCAGAGACTGTCCACAACGATACATAGGTCAAACCTCGGGGAAAATTGAAACACGAATAACTGAACACAAAAACGCCATAAAACGATACGATTATAAATCACTACTTGTAGCACACACATACGACAACTGCCATACCTTCAACTGGACAGAAACCGAACTATTAGGCGATGACCTTTTTAGTGTTCAATCTAGAGGCGAACAATGTGCTTTTATGAGTTTATCAGCACTTTTCACTGCCCAAAATATACCACTGATCGATTGGTCAAAAACGACGTCTTACAAGGAGACGAAATGTACTTGCAAGCTCTGAATGATGGATTTGTTGTCTTAGAACCTGATGTCGAATTCTTATTTGTAGAAACGTGTCGAAAATTTTGTTAAACCTGCTGTCCATAGTAAGATTGACATAAATCAATTTGGAACGATTCCCAAATCATCAACGACTCATGCGCTAATAAGCATGATACATAAGTGGAAAAAACAAACGGACGGAACCGGTTCTATGGTGCGGGTTGTCCTTTTTGATTTCAAAAAAGCCTTTGACTTAATCGATCATGGTAGTCTCGTAGACAAGTTTACTACCTTTGAAATACCAGAGCGAATAATTGGGTGGATCGTTAATTTTCTCAAAGACTGTAAACAGCGCGTCAAGTTAAGCCAAGATTGTCACTCCGAGTGGGGTTTGGTTCCAGCAGGCGTCCGTCAAGGGACTAAATTGGGTCCTTGGATTTTTGCTATAATGATAAATGACCTAAAAGTAGCGGACATAGATTTATGGAAGTATGTGGACGATACTACAATCTCCGAGATTGTCCTTAAACATGAAACCAGCAGCATCCAATCTCAGGTAGACGAGTTTATAAGGAAATCAACTGCAAAAAATTTCAGTTAAACGAAGAGAAATGCAAAGATCTTCAAATTACCTTTGCAAGACCCGGGCGTACGTTTACACCCGTGTATGTTAATAATAAACCAATCGAAGTTGTCCCTTCTGCAAAGATATTGGGCATGCGAATTACGAACGACCTTAAATGGAATACCCACATCTCAGAGATCGTAAAGAAAGTTTCAACAAGACTCTTCTTTCTTTGTCAACTAAAAAGAACAAAAATCTGTAGAAAGGATTTACTAACATTCTACCTGACCTGTGTGCGTCCTGTGATGGAATATGCTTGTCCCGTTTTTCACGACTCCTTACCCAATTACCTATGCGAAGATCTGGAGAAGTTACAGAAGCGAGCCCTTCATATAATCTTCCCAACGTTACCTTATATGCAGAAACTTTGGTAGAAACGGGAGTTGACTCATTATTTAAAGACGGGTTACAGTCCGTGCTGCGCATGTGCGATTCCTTTTGTTTTGGTAGACTACTTATCTCTCGTTTCCATGGTTTCCAGTCCGATTGCGTAATATACGCGCGATTCTATATTTGTTGATACAAGGAGTGGGAATACACAGTTTCGAAGAGATTTTCAACGATTTGTGACTTTTATGAAGTGAAATCCGATTAATAACAAATCATTGAAACAATATGAGAAGAAAGAAAGAATATTACGCCAACAAGGGTGCCTTTAAAGTGTGTTTATTTGAAATTCAGTCAAGCGCTTCGCCATGTCGAAGTTATATACTGTCATAAAAGGTAAATATTTGTTTTACATTTGATTATTTCGTTCTCCAGAGTCGAGACTGGATCTCTAATTCGCTGTGAATTTGTGACAATTTTTAAGCTAGGGCAATTTTATTCATTTACTGTCTGAGAAAAGATGGGATCTCTGAGTTTATAATTCAACTTGTTCGAGACATGTATTGATGTATATTTGTAGTACTTCACCTCGGCTCAGTACTATAGCTTGATTCAGTCAAGGATAAAACTGATTTCATCTTTATATGGCGAGCTGTTATCAAAATGCTACTGGGATTGAGTTATTGGATGATTAATGTTTTGTAATTCATAAATCAGGCATCTCCAGATGAACTTTCTGGTAGCAGAATATATTGCAAATTTTTACACGACATGATTGAACATACTGAATAAAATTTCTATTATGCTGTACTATACGTTACCTAGTTGAGCTCATGAAAACATTACAGATTGTACAACACTAACATCGAATAAACACGGTGATGAGTGTGGAGATGTGGTTATAACAACCATATAGTGGTTAACCAATCAGAAACAAATTTAAAGAGAGGAATAAATATAGAAGAAACAATACAGATTGAATGCTGATGAAACAAAGATGGAAGAATGTATTGCCTTATAATAACAATTCACATTACATAAGAGCACAAGTATTGTTTATGAGTTGAGAATTGTTTGGTTGACTAATTTGACTTGGAAATATTATCCAGTGCTGGTTGAGAGTCAGAAAAAATTATGTCCTTAAATAGCCTCCTATATAAAATGTTTTCTAGTTCTATTTCCTGTAGCTACTTTATATATTTCATTATCTTTTTGTATGGATATATTATAACTGATTTCAAGCACCGTGTTTCATGCCATGTGAACAAAAATGTAGTATAGCAGTTTTAACATTCTGGCTAAAATAGTTATCTGGCCAACATTGAGATATAAATACTGATCGTTTTGGTGGAGATAATATTACCATCATGTAACTTAGTCAGGGGAAAAATTCTCTAATCCTTACATCTGCTTTGTTTTGGGAATTTCATTAGATATACAACAATGATTGAATGTATGGTCAGCAGGACTGGGCCCCATGTGAAAACCAACATACAGTACAATCATGTCCGATGTCAAAAAAATATATGCTGCTACCAAAAAGTTCATCTGGAGATGCCTGATTATGAATTACAAAACAATAATCATCCAATAACTCAATCCCAGCAGCATTTTGATAACAGCTCACCATATAAAGATGAAATCAGTTTTATCCTTGACTGAATCTAGTACTGAGCCTGAGGTGATTAAATTAGATTTCAAGTACTATATTAGTCTATACATGTCTTGAACAAGTTGAACTATAAAACTCAGAGATCCCATCTTTTCTCAGACAGTAATGAATGTAATTGCCCTAGCTTAAAAATTGTCACAAATTCACAGCGAATTAGAGATCCAGTCTCAACTCTGGAGAACGAAATAATCAAAATGTATAAAACAAATATTTACCTTTATATGACAGTATAACTTCGACATGGCGAAGCGCTTGACTGAATTTCAAATAAACACACTTTAAAGGCATCCTTGTTGGCGTAATATTCTTTCTTTCTTCTCATATTGTTTCAATGATTTGTTATTAATCGGATTTCACTTCATAAAAGTCACAAATCGTTGAAAATCTCTTCGAAACTGTGTATTCCCACTCCTTGTATCAACAAATATAGAATCGCGCGTATATTTCGCAATCGGACTGGAAACCATGGAAACAAGAGAAAAGTAGTCTACCAAAACAAAAAGAATCGCACATGCGCAGCACGGACTGTAACCCGTCTTTAATAGAAGACAAATCCTAACTACTAAACTATTTAATGATATTGCAAATGACGAAAGTCATAAGCTTTACCAATTACTACCAAGTAAGAACTTTTCAAATTATAATATAAGGAAAGAGAACATTTTAAACATTTCTATTAGTAGGACGAATAGATTTAAAAATAGTTTTATACAGCATAATTCTACAATGTATTTTAGATAAAGTAAATATTTATATAAGGAAAGAGAACATTTTCAACGTTTCTATTAGTAGGACGAATAGATTTAAAATAGTTTTATACAACATAATTCTACAATGTATGTTAGATAAAGTAAATATTTATTGTAAAGTTAGAAGCGTATTTCAACCCATGGGTTGTAAAGTTTTTAATTAATTAAACTATCTATCTATCATTTTAATTAAGTAACTTACCCAAGGTTACGTCGTCCGGCATATCACGAATTGAAAACACAAATTATCTATAGTTCTAATAGCAAGTAATTGTATTCCTTCCACTCGTGAGCTCATTACAAAAGTAATGTCCAGGCCTTGTGACCCTGGATGGGCACTTAAAAGGAAAGAATACACACACACAATTAGTTCTAATGCGCATGTCGTTACTTGATGACGCAATTATTATGCAATAGAAACATGTCCAAATCTTGTTCGTAATTATCTATCTATCTATCTAGATAACTTACCTAAACTTGTCAGTGTTTCAAGTTATATACGAACATGTTTTCTTACAAGTTATGTGATTCTGTGATCGACACAAGTAATATACCACATGTAGTGCATGCGAAAACAACTACAACACCTGTGAATCCTTTTGATACACAAAATAATGATACTATAAACAGTCTGCCCATGGTGGTAGGACAAAATTGTAGTAGAGCCCATTGAGGCAAAAAATAATATTGATCTGCCCGTTGTGGTAGGGCCACTGAGCTGTATAATACATGGAGAGCGCAACTATAGATACAGAAATTGAAGCCGGAAGTCGCGCGCTGCCGCCATCTTACTGTGACCACTTTGAGGAGTGAGCTATTGTGATTAATAAGGTATTTTCAACTGTTTTGATCTGTTATCTCGCAATAGAGGAACAAATCAAGTCAAATATGGCATTTTAAGCAAAAGCACATGTTCAAGAATGTTGGGGACCTCTTTTACGTTCAAATGAACTCAATCGTAAAGAAACGTGTCTATATTTTTGACGACGTTTCTGAGTGCGACTGAGATGAATCATGAATACAGTCGTGACAACACCTTTCAAATGGGAATTTCTGATAGATATCGGTGAATTATACCATAAGTTAACACATGAGGATTGAAGAAATTGGTCATGAACTTTATTGTTTTGGAAATGGTGAATTTTAATATGGACAAGATCATAATATACTCATATCACCTCATATTTGTTTCTATCAACGCAAACAAATTATGTCGCTTGTGGGATTTGTTAAAGGAACAAATGATTCAGGATGGTAGAAAAATTGCAGGTGCGTTGTAGTGACCTTATTTATGTTAATGGTGGGTGCTTTGATAAACGCAATGCCTTATGAGAATATATACCATCCCATCCTTGCTTGTGTAATATGTTCCTTATTAAAGTCATAGTCATGATTAATTATCACTCTTCTGAGAAGACCTCAATGGTGTTTTATTCCAAAAGAAGCAGATTAAAATTAATAAATTTGAAAGAAATTGAAAGTTGTAAAATAATGGTATCTC